CCGAGATTTGATTTAAATATTTACCAAAATATCCCTCCGTTTTCCTAAATTCCCGGCCTTGCCCAGCCTTGTCAAAAATGCCTCTAAAATACCAATGAAACTACGTCGTTTATTATGTCCAACTCATTTGGCCTTTCTTTTGTCCGAAAATGGGCCGTCAAACCTAACATATTGCTACCTAAATTAAATAATATAAATCAATAGTTTTTTTTAAATTAAAATAAAATAAAAGATTTTTAGTTTAAATATTATTTTGATCCGATTTCAAGGTTGAAAATAAATTTAAATAATTTATTTTTGTTTTTATTTTTCTGTTTCCTTTATTTATTTATTTGAAGGTTATGAGAGAAATAAATGTAAATATGTATGAAGTATAAATTTATGATTAATTTAATGCAGAATTTAGAATTTAGGTTTATAAGTTAATTATATGAAATATAATTTAATGCCGCACCCGCGTTTTCTCACTCTTGCTTATTTCTCCACACGACCCCATCTTCTTCCCCTACTCCCCGCGAGAAACATTTCTACCTACCGGGTTCTGTCCGGCAATGTTGCCGGAATTTCGAGCGTATTTGCGCCTGAGGTCTGACTCTGTATCCGTCTACAATTCCACTCGCCATGCCTCTCTCCGCCTCCGTGACACAGAGCCTGAAGCTTCGGATTCTCTCGTGCCTCACCAAGCTTTCCGACCGAGATACCTATTCTCTTGCTGCATCCGAGCTTGAATCTATTGCTCGGAGTCTTGACGTTAGTTCCTTGCCGATTTTCCTTTCCTGTATGTACGCAATTGATGCCTCGGATAAATCGCTGGTGAGGAAGCAATGCGTTCGTCTCTTTGCTGTTCTCTCGGAGACTCATGGAAATTATCTTTCTCCTTACCTTGCGAAGATTCTTTCCAATATTACTCGCCGGTTCCGTGATCCTGATTCGTCAGTTCGATCCGCGTGCGTTAGCTCCGTAGCGGCATTAGCTTCTAATGTCACTAAACCGCCGTTTTCGACGTTTTTGAAGCCTTTAACTGATTCGCTTTTCACGGAGCAGGATTCCAATTCGCAGATCGGGGTGGCTTTGTCTTTGGCTTCGGCAATTGATGCAGCACCGGATCCGGATCCGCTTAAGCTCGGCAAACTCTTGCCGAGATTTGAGAAGCTTTTGAAATGCGAGAGTTTCAAGGCAAAGGCGGCACTCTTGACAATGATCGGGAGTATTATTGGATTGGATGGAGCTTTTGGAAATGGAGCTCTGAAAAATTTGGTCCCGTGCTTGGTTACATTCCTTAGCAGTGAGGATTGGGCGGCGAGAAAATCAGCGGCGGAGGCGCTGGGTAAACTAGCAGTCATGGAGAGGGATGCTCTGGCGGAATTCAAGGCTGGTTGCTTGAAAACGTTCGAGAGTCGGCGATTCGACAAGGTTTCAATTTTTCAATGGCTTTAAAAATTAGTTATGACTCGAATTCAGATATTTGATCTTGTTTTTCTAAATTTGTGACATAGGTCAAGGCCGTACGGGAGGCGATGCGTCAGATGCTGGAGGCATGGAAGCAGATTCCTGATCTCTCGGACGAGGCGTCTGCACCTTATTCCCAATCCTCCTCGAAAGGTAGCATGTTTTAACATTATCTTCAGTAAATGTTTTGCTAATTTCCTGCATGTCTTTTGAAATTGTTGACACTCTTCTGATCATTTTGGTCTTTTATTATGTTTAAGAAATCGCTAGTGATGGACGTTATCTACCTGGATCCAAGAATATTTCTTCTGCTTGTCTTGATGCTCCTCTTCCGAGGAAAAATAGTAGCCTGGTTGGCAGGTCTACACCACCCGATGCCTCGTCTGCGACGACGGCGAGAAGGAGAAGCGCTTTGAACGGCGGTGACAAGAAAACAAGTTTGTCAATGTTCCAAAAGGTTGAGCGTAAGAAGCCTCTGGACTGGAAGGTGGAAGTCTCTGTTAGGAAGTCTCCCTCAGGAGATCTGAAGGAAAGAGATGAATACATACCAGATAGAAGGTTTAGTGAAAACACCAAGATTTCGAAACCAGAAACAAAGCGGGCACTCTTCAATAAGATTTCTGACGATAAGATAATTAAATTCGGTGGGTTCAGGTCTGGATCTCGCGTAGTTCCCTGTCCCGAGGAGGGCCCTGAATCGCCTGTTGTAGCAAGTAATGCAACCGACGATCTGCACAGGAACCACAAAGACTCTGAAGAATTGCATTTGATCCGTAATCAGCTTAATCAAATAGAAAAGCAGCAATCCAGTCTTCTAGACATACTCCAGGTTGGCACCAAATCCTGAAAAACTTTACTCTTAGTCTGGAAGAAATGTGTTGAAGTTGAATTTTATTTTCATTTCTTTATGCTTGATTCATGAAGTCGTATATTTTCCTCATTGTCCCATTCTAAAGATGATAATCATGCAAGGCATATGCATGCATCAATATAGTAAATCGCTCCTTGGAAATTGGAATCATTAGAATACTGGAAATCAATTGACAACAAGCACATAGAACATTGAATCCAAAATGAAATATTCAAGGCGCATAGTACATAAAACAAGGTGTATCATCAAAAAGGAAAAAAACAGAGAACAAGGTATGTTCAAATCTGGAATATGACAACTCCAAAGGACAGATCACTGAGTATATTTCTTATTGAAGTACAATTTGCTGTCCGACTTCAAAATTGCGTTGTCTATTACTTCCAGCGCTTGATTATTTGCAATGTTCAATATATCGATTATTCGCTGCAATATATCTCACTTGTGTTTTGTCTAATCCACCATTTAGAACTTCATTGGGAGTTCACAGAATGGAATGAGATCCCTGGAGACGCGTGTGCATGGTCTGGAATTGGCATTAGACGAGATCTCATATGATCTGGCTGCATCATCAACTGGAAGGATGTCTTATGCCAACACCCCCAAAATCACATGTTGCATGCTGCCTGGAGCTGATTTTTTTAGCTCAAGGTTCTGGAAGAGAGCAAATGGCAGAGGTTCAACACCAAAGGTTTCAATTCCCAGTGGTGTAACTCCACTGGCTCCAATGCGTAGCAGAGGTGATCGCCATGGAACTAATGGGGATGCTGGATCTATAAATTTGGAGAATCATAGCTTTCAGGTCCAGCGAAGGGGTGGCTTCATAGTGAATCCACTGGCTGTGAGGCAAGGTGAATCCAGGGTTGTCTCCGATGCCAGCACTTCCTTGAACGATTTGACTAGGAGGCACTAAAGAGTAAATTCTGAACTGAATTCGTTCTCTTTTATTTTACTTTAAGCTTCATCACTCTCTTTTTTTTCTTTGTTCATATGCAAATTTCTACGGGCTTGAATCTTTCTCCTCCTTCCCACATCATATGGTAATAGCTTTTAGATGGCCGAATATGGTATTTACTGAACTTCAAACAGCTTTTACTTGGTACAGGCTTACAGCTATAAATTTTCACTTTCCTTTGCCATGGGAATCTCATCCCCTTGGAACCCTAGCGATGGATGAGAAAGCAGCTAAACATGATTTGTGTTGCTTAGCAACAATCAAATCCATTCCAATGTGGATTTATCTCTGGTATGTTCAAGAGCCAAGTGATCTGAAAATTTTCAATGAGTTATAAAGTTGAATTTCCGTTTCTTCTATTGTTATTTGTTTTCTGGAAATTATAATCAAGAAGTTTATACCGAAATGGTGATTACTGATATGTACAGATGAACCAGAAAGAAAAAAAAAAAAAAGAGGCGTTTTCTCTTCCCTTCACACTTACTCACCGTGGTGTCATTTTGTCAAATTTTTTTTAATTGGTTGAAACAATACTTAAAAGTGGAAAAGAGTACAAATATACTGTTGATGATTATGATGTTTTTCTACAATTTATAGCCTTTTAATACCTGCATTGAAAATTGAAATTTTTTTATATAACATGTAACGACCCAGGCTCACCGCTAATAGATATTGTCCTCTTTAGACTTTCCCTTTCGGGCTTCCTCTCAAAGCTTTAAAACGAGTCTACTAGGGGAAGGTTTCCACGCCCTTATAAATGGTGGTTTATTCTCCTCCCCAACCAATGTGGACATCACAATCCACCCCTTTCAGGGCCGAGCGTACTTGCTAGCACTCTTTCCTTCCTCCAATTGATGTGGGACCACCCCTAAATCCACCTCTCTTTGGGGCCCAACGTCCTTACTGGCACACCACCTCGTGTCTACTCCCCTTTGGAGAACAGTGAGAAGGCTAGCACATTGTCCGGTGTCTGGTTCTGATACTATTTGTAACGACCCAGGCCCACCGCTAGCAGATATTGTCATATTTGAGTTTTCCCATTCAAACTTCTCCTCCAGACTTTAAAACGCGTTTGCTAGGGAAAGGTTTCCACAAAAGGTTTTGTTTCCTCCCCAACCAATCTAGGACATCACATAACAAATCAAGAGGGGTGATTCAGGACATATACATCATATGTATATTGGGATGTTACTTTAATAATGGATGAAGATTATATATATATTTATGGATGAGAGAGGATATTACAGAAGAAAAAATTAACTTCAGAGTTTTCCGTGCTTGCTGTTGCCGTATCACATCAAACTGATCTGAAAAAGTTATCGCGGTGAAAAAGTTAATCATGGATGGGAGAGAACATTTACCCTTTTCCATTTCCACCTATCGACTTTAACCCTCAGTAACTTCCAGACTTTCAACTGTCAGATGTAGTGAACATTACAGCTTACTCAAAACTATCTTAAAAATTAATGGAGGGGTTTCTTCCTCCAACCTTATCCAGTTCTGTATTGTACATAACACTGCCACCATTTTTGCCTGTATCAAGCTGTCAGAAAATTCTTTAATGATTTCTTTCACATTTGAGAATTCTCCTATCCCTTATTTAATTTCCCCACCAAATTTGATATTTATTATGTTCACGTTCGACCCACAATCAACAAACCTTTCTACACTTGGCTTACAGATGTACTCCATTTGGGTTTAAGTGCAGAGAGAAGAAAAAAAACACACATAAGATATGGACTAATATGAAAGGACCATTAAGTGTAATACCTTCAAATTCATACAATACTTATTCATCATGTTAAGCAATGCTTTGTGAACACTTCAGCAATATAATGTATTTCTTAAAAAAGAAGACTATACAGAAGGAAGGAAGATACATGGGGATAAGGCCTCACCCCTCCCCTCTGGTTCATAGTGTGTTTATTAACTAACAAACGCTATATTACTTATGCTAAAGAAGCCTACTTCCAAAAATCAAGAAACTTATGCTTCAAATTAAGATCTTATAGTTCAGTTATATGATCAGAATTTTTCGATCTTGTTTCTTTGTGTTTAACTATAAGGCCTAAAAACTTATTTAGTGTATTATACGTATTTAACTAATATGAACAGTCGTCGGTATAAGAAACCCCCTAAACTCATCTAATTGCCAGTCAGGGTTAAAAATGAAATGTTACAAAGAACAAGATATGATTTTGTTAACACAATTGAAGGCAAAAACTAGCATTTCTATGAAAAAGCAGCAATTATCCATGAAATAATAAGATTAAAAAAAGAAAAAGAAAGAAAAAGGCAATGCAGAGGCATGCTCTACGGACGATACTTTGAAGGCCTTGTGGCCTGCCACTAACTTCGCTACCAGACAGGATAAGATGCTCACTTTAGGCTGAAAAGTTCGACCACTCGACTAAAAAATTATTACCTACTTAAGCTTCTTCTTTCATATTCTTTTTTGAGACGAACCAGTGATCTGGCACTCTTTTCTTCCTCCTTACATAAAGGTGACGAATTTGGAACTACATAAAAATTCCCGAAAGCTTAACTCAAAGGGGGGAAAAGCTGAGAGACGTTGAAGAAAAGTCTACAAAGAGGCTGAGATGAAAAATATAAAGATAAGTTTAGATTAAAAAAAAAAGAGGAATCAATCTATCCCCCTAGAAGGAGTAAGCAGAAAGGCATCCAAATAAGCGTAAATCGCAAGCAAAACTGGAAAGGGAATGGAAGTCTAGGAGGGGCATTCAAATTTTGCCAATTAGAGTCCATTCCTCTCATGGAAATTCGATTCTTTCAAGCCATAAACTCCAAGAAATTGCTTTATCGGTGTTCCTCCATATAATCTTTGTCTTTGCTTTGAAGTTGGTTCCACACAGAAGCTCAAGAGAAGTCAAAAGAAGGGAAAGGAACCTTCCTCAACACTTTATGCATTAGGGGGGGGGGGGGGGGGGNGGGGGGACTAGTAACTGGCTTTGTGTTTCCCTTACTTTCCTACATGAACGCTAAGCTTCTTTTTCTTTAACTCGCTCCTGTTGACAATAAAATGACTATTGCCTATCCAAAACAATGTTTGAAAGTGTCAATCAACCCTCACTTGACGGATACTCTGGCAATGCGATTGGAAGAGCAGTCTCATTTGCACATTCAAACGCTTGGGAGGGGAAAGAAACAACTCTATTCTAATGATGGAAAAGGGAGAAGCAGCTAAACATAACTACAATTATTGAATATAACAACCTTCAAGATGTAAACATGACTAAAAGACTCTTGAATCATTCACTAGGACATTACGAATTCACGACCACTGAATTACCACAGAGATAGAACTTACATGTTTTATGATAAAATCCAACTTTGGAAAGTATTCATCTTGTTTTATACCTAAAAATTGAACAGAATGCAGACTTTATCCAGCTCATTGATTGCTCAATATGATGGATTAAAATAAACTAATGAGATGAACAAATTTAGGAAAAGGTCAGAATGTAGCATAATTATCTGATGAGCAACAGAATTTTATTGTGAGAATGTATTAAGATCTAGAGATTCGAAGTGCAAATAAAATGGTCTGGACCGTAAGGCTCCATTTCAGGCAGAGCACAATTCCCAGCACAGTATTCAAGAGCTTTCTAGTGAGTTTCAAATTAAATTATTAAATAAAGATATAACTATGAGGTAATAAATTATAGTAGCGCAATAGAATTTCAAAAAAGAAAAACAACCAACCTGACGTGCTAAGCATGGTGGTTGCCGACTGTCTTAAGATATTTCAACCATGAAGCTTCAGTTCTAAGTCTCTACCGTCCCCATCTTCCTTTTTAAATGCTCCAATTTCAAGAAGAATTACCATCTGAATTATTCAACAAGTCCTTGTGCTTTCTACAAATTGTGTGCTTGAGAAAGTAAATGTTTAAACGTTGCCTGTGGGAGTCATCATTCAAATCAGAAGCAGTTCTTTCAAACTTAGTTAACAAGCCATTAACAGTTTCAATATCAGTTTCGCAAGCTGGATTTAAACTTTCGAAGTACAAAAATTCCAGGCTAAATCATATCCAACTTATCTATGACAATTTCATTGTTTGTAGAGATGTAAGCATTCTAAAAGGTTTCACTGGCTCCCATATCACTTTTGGCATCTACATGTGGTGTAAACACTTTCCCTCGATTGATTAAAGTTATCTGAAAATGGAATTCCAAAGCAACGAAGAACAGGTGATAATGTATTTCCATGGCCTCGCTAGTAAAGGACCTGATTTGGAGAGCTTTTCTAAGATTGCAGATTCTATCTATATTTTTATCTTCTCTAGTTTTATAATTCAGAGTATAAGTATCGTGATCATCATCATAGAAGAATTATCTGCTGACTGACAACTGATATTTCATAATGGAATTTTGGAGAAATAAAAGACTGATATTTCGTACATTCTCATGGCTGACCTGTTTAAAGGATAATATTTAATCCCATGTCTGAGTACTCTTTTTCTTTTTCTGAAAAGTCTCACTCAAGTATCAGTATCATCTTTCTGCATCACGTTCATATTCAACACACACGTTTGCTCGTGTCGCTTAGGTTTTCTCATCTCTTCTGCAGTTCTGCTAAGTATTTCATGAGAGGAATCATTAGCCTGTCCAAGAAAATAGATTTTTCAACAGAACAGATTTCTATGTAAGTATAGTAATTTCTAAAAGGTTCTGCTTTATTGCTACTCATTTTATTAAAGGAAAAGTTAGTCCCACGTGCACCTTTAACATACACTTACCTGACATGTCCATTCCACAAGTCATGAGATGTCGCTTGTTCCAGAGGAGAACCATTTAAGATAATCGTGGACTCACTACGACCAATAGAATTCTGAGGCCGTAATGATATGTCTATCTTGGTAGTAATATTTCCTACCAATTTATTCTCATTCACAGTTTGTGTTTCCTGTTCATCACTTTCTCCAATTTACTTGTAACTTCTCGCAACTCTTACCCAATATCTTCGATTATCACTACAGCATCTGGTTCTCCAATCTGAGGCTAAAGTAAACCACTGAAATTACAAAAAGTTGCACAGCCATAGTAGAGTAAATCATAATAGAAAGGTACTAGATTATTACATAAGGGATCACAAGATCACACAATGACGGTTAGAAATTACGACTTTCCGCAATGGTATGATATTGTCCACTTTGAGCATAAGCTCTCATGGCTTTACTTTAGGCTTCCCCAAAAGGCCTCAATCAAACCAATGGAGATAGTATTCCTCACTGATAAACCCATGATCTTCCACTAAATTAACCAACGTGGACTCACTCCCAATAATCCTCAACAATGACAAGTGTGAAACAACTTATTTCCTCTGTATAGCGCACAGAATAAAAGAAAACCGAAAAAGTGTCTTCGAACAATCTTTTCAGGAAATCAACACCAGAAACCGAAGTAGATAACGGTTATATAAACGTTTGTACCAGTTACCAAATATGAGCCCTAAAAATCTCTAAATAGCACAGACATACGAAAACACTAGACAAAATCAAAGAATCCAGTATTCTTTGGGCGTCTAACAAGCATCAGAAATGCTTCATCCTTGTTCGTGAAAAAATTTCCTATCGAAAACTAATACCTTTCTTCTCCAAAACCAAGATCAATGCCACCGCTTCTTTCGCCGTATTGCGGCCTCATACGCATAGGCATTCTTCAAGGCCGTCGACATCTAAGCATTCAATAACCAACAAGATTAAACTCCGAAAAAGAGAAACACAAACAAAATCAAAACATTCCGAAATGAGAAAAAGAATCAAAGGAGCAGAAAGCCTATATTGATTTGATTTATTGAAAATCTTAACAGGAAAATCACCTCGAAATCGCCCATATTGAAACATTTCCGAGAACTTTCAGACGGAAGCCGAGACGAAGAAGACTTGAAAATTTGAGAAGAGATCAAATCCTCGCTTTTACGGTTTTACCAAATTGCCACCATCAGATCCCACAATCACGTACCCGCGTGAACTCTAAAATCGGTATTTCGCTCTCTTTTGGCGCCTCGCGCGCGCCATTAGGCCGGCCACCATCAGGAGCCGTTGGATCGTTGATGTGGTCAAAGTTCATTAACACGTGGGGTAACACGGCAAGTGTTACATGATTTTATTTTCCTTTTAAAAATAGAATTATCTTTTTAATCTCTTAGTTTGGAACTTATATTATTTAATACAATGTTTTAAATATATAATTTATCTTACCAAATTTTAATAAACTAGTTATAATATAATTAATCAAAGTATATATATATATATATATTAATAAGTCGCAGTTTTCCCTACAATTTTTATTTTTTTAAAAATCATATCTAATTATAAACATGAAATTAAAATGACGATATTTGAAAATAGGAATTTTAAATAATTGGAAGTTGGGAATTAAATATTACACCAACTGTATAATATAAGATAAGGACATTATATCTATTTTTATTATCATTTTTTTTAAAAGGTTCCTTGAGATGCGTGAAGAGATACCAAATGTTGAGGTATCGGTGTTCACATATTAGATAATAATTATATTATATACTTACTGAACTTATAATATTCATAGCACTATTTTAAAATGCTCTTTGAATTTTGTTATATTTTTAATGACGTAAGTTAATTAAAAAAAAGCCTAGAGAGGTTTAGGGGCAGAGATGGAAAGTCTTTCCTATCTTTGTCCCATTTTTTTGTCCTCTCATTGGTGATTACTTCTGTTCCAAAGCACCCTTTTTTTCATTTATAGAGAAATTCAATTGTCAAATCGATGAAAAAAAGTCATCATGGGTTAAGGTAATGGTATCTTGATAAAAGAGTTGACGAATGCGAGATCTCACATCGCTTGAAGAGAGGAATAAAATAATGCTTATAAGAGTGTGGAAACCTCTCTGTAGTAGACATGTTTTAAAACGTGAGGCTAATGACTATATATAACGAGTCAAAGTTGACAATATTTATTAACAGTGGGCTTGAACTATCACAAATGTAAGAGCTAAACATGTGCCAACCAGGATGTTGGGCCTAAGAGGTGGATCGTGAGATGTCACATTAGTGGAAAATAAAATATGGGGTGGAAACATGTCTCTAGTAACGCGTTTTAAAACTGTGAGGCGGACGACAGGCCAAAATAACTATTAACACGTCAGAAATAATAATATATTATTGTGAAGCACACCATTTGAAATATGGATCCAATTTAAATGAACAATATAAAGGAATAAATGGTATATGTTTAAATAGTTATATTAATTAATATTGGTTATTTTTTTATTTATCCGAGAAATATATAATGTTAGAATCAACACGTTTTATCCTGAGGCGTGTCTGCAGCGACCACCACGTGCCGCGTGTGCAGCTTGAGCTTCGTCTCTTTCCCCTCCTCCTATATATACACCTGCCTCTCTCTGCAAATCGCTTCCTCATTCGTATCCGCTAAGTTTCCCTCTCCACTTTTATGCTTTTCACAAACCCTCTCGCTGTCAACCCTGTGTTCATCGTCCTCGTCTCCACGTGATCATGCGAAGCATCACCGCCGCCGTCAACGAATCCGCCGCCACCGAGATCGGTGGCGGAGGTCCTGGTGAGATCATGCTGTTTGGTGTCAGAGTGGTGGTGGATTCGATGAGGAAGAGTGTGAGTTTGAATAATCTGTCGCAGTACGAGCAACCTCATGAGGCCGCCGATGTAATCGCCAACGATAACATGAACGACCCCGTTTCCGTCAATCACAAAGATGTTGTTGCTGCTGGTTATGCCTCTGCGGATGATGCTGTTCCCAACGCCTGTGGGAACCGCGAACGTGAGCGCAAGCGAGGTACGACTCAGCTTCGGATCTCCGATCGCCTTCTGTCTCTGTCTTTCTTCTGGTTTCTGGTTCTTTTCCTCCTGATTCTTCTGGTTTATTTATTGTTCAATTTTTCGATATATTTAACTGAGTAGTAGAGTATCTCTGTTATGTGATCGGAACGTACGGAAAGAAACTGGAGTTTTCGTTCTGAAATTACTGTGTCGATGGTAATAGGTGTGCCTTGGACTGAGGAGGAGCACAAGCTGTTTTTAATTGGACTGCAACAAGTGGGGAAGGGGGATTGGAGAGGAATTTCTAGGAACTTTGTTAAGACTCGCACCCCAACTCAGGTCGCTAGCCACGCGCAGAAATACTATCTTCGCCGGAGCAATCTAAATCGCCGTCGCCGTAGATCTAGTCTTTTTGACATCACGACGGACACAGTAACTTACGAATACTTGCCATTCAATTTATATATGCCGTCTGTTTGATTGTTGAATTACTGATCGGAGGTCTTCATCCCGAATTTTTCGACGATCAAGATGAAAATGGTCTTTGATTGGAAGTCAGCTAGATGACTGGTTTAAATAATCAAGTAACCTGGCTATTTACGAAATCCATTACGAATTACTCTATGATGATGGATCGAAATTTTGTTTAAGTCGTACATTTTCTTAGAGGCGGACATTGACCTTTAAAGGACCAAATTGCGTAATTGATTTCGATATGTTTAGCTACTGTTCTTTAGTTGACAAATGAAAGACTTGACTGTTATAACTCAAAATCTCGTTTTACCTCCCACCAACCCCAACAAAGTTCGATTTTCATGATAACTCTGATTTTCCTCTGTCCTTCGTATTAGGTCACGGCTGTTCCTATGGTTGAAAATTCGGTGCAGCTTCAAGAAACTGCTTCTCAATCCCATTCCTTGACTCCATCAAACCAACTCGAAATTTCCAAGAACAATGTAATTCCGGCGTTGCAAACTTTACCATTTTCATTTGGGCCAACACCATTTGCCACTCCAACCAAGAATCCGATGGAAAAGGGTGGTGGTCCTGGAGAAGTAAGCACAGAAAAAGATGGACCACTGAAGCTTGGCCTCACGAATTCCATCTATTCCTCTGATCAAACTCCAAACTTGAACTCAAACTCAGCAATGGAGTCATCAGCTCTATCTCTTCGCCTTGCATTAACATCTGAGCAGAGGGAGGCTTCAACAAGACACTCAACTTTCCAGTCCATGCCTAGTTTCAATAATGGTGAGGGCATCATAAGTGCTGCTTGATAATTTACAGATCTGGGAAAAGTTATTGACAATTTAATTAGAGAGAATGGGGCTAGAGACCACAGAAATTATTAGGCGACTGAATCTGATCGATCCAGTGCAGACCCGCTAAAAGGGAGTTGCTCCATGTTTTTGATGGCATCTGTGTAAGCTAGATTCTTGATGATTTCGCTGTTCTTGTCGGTAGCTGGTTACTGACGGAAATAATGACACGCTATTCTCTGTTAGAATTAGAAAAGACTGTATTTGGTGGGTCTGTTGTCTCGTGGGCTCGGTTGTAGTTTGAAGGAAAGAATATCCAAGTTGGATAAATGGGTGGTGGTTGCGATGATGTATGTGAAAAAGAGGGAAGGAGGCAAAATTCCCCAGTATGGCTTTGATCTCCACATCCACAGTGATGGAGCATGATGGCTGTCCGTTGTCTATTGTTTTGACGCATCTTTAACTCTGAGAATATGGGGTATCGGGGCCGTGTATTCTGTATATTTATGTGGTTTTGGTTCTCTTCATCTCATCTTCAATAACCTTTATTCCATGTAATAATTTGTGCAATGAAGTCCGAGCTTTAGCTCACCCTTTCTTTTGAGACCATTGTTTTTAACTAAGTTTGAGTCTATTTTAGGCATGAAATCCAAGCTTACTCCATTTTCCTGTGGTCGAGGTCGAATAGGGTTTAAATGAGATTTAAAGCTTCTAATTAATAGTAGCAGAACCTTATCGAATTTAATGAAACCCCCTAGTTTCTAGCATGTGCTATGTTTATCCTTTTGTACTGCTCTTGAATCTCATCTCTCTCTCTCTCTCTCTATGGTATTGATTTATAGTTTGGAATCTTATCTTTCTATGTTTTTAACCATTTCCGAACCTAAAATTTAGTGATGTTGACAAAAGACCATTCTAGACATCTGAATGAATACTCACCAAACTTCAGACTTCAATCTTTGAGGACAAACAAAGTGAAACATGGATGCTAGTTCCACATTATTTAAGGTCATAATCCATCAATAATGTGATGTGATGCAACAAGATGAAATGGATCCAAATAAATAAAGTGAGTGACAAGAAGTGTAAAATCAACTTTAATTAACACTTGAGAAAGATGTATATGTAAAAAGAAATGCAGCGTTGTTCATATCATATCCAATACTACATGGTGAGACAGAGAAAGAACGTGAAAGCTTAGAATACATATTTGAAGCTACCGGAGAGATTGTGAAGTAGGCAATAACTTAATGGCAGTATAGTATAGGAGATGTACATACAGTTGCATTTACCAGTATAGTATAGTATAATAAGAAGATTCCCCCGTCCTCATCTCCAATCTATCTATCCAGATGATGAAAGCCAAGGGTCTGGAGCAACATACGAGTATCCGTGGAAGTGTCCTCCGTCGGTTGGCGTTGGAGCTGGCGAGTCGTCGGGGGGCATCGTCGTCCAACAATTATCAAAATTTGCTGTGCAGTCATTTCCCTTGACATCCGGCTTGAATTTTGGTTGCAGCTCCCTACATTCCAATTTCTTCCAGTTCACAGGTCGAAACCATTTGTGATTTTTTATGTCCGCCCCTCTGTTGGGTCCACTTCCCAATCTTTTAGAAGGATCCTTTTGTAATAGCTGTGAAGAACAAGAACTCCCATTATATCGGTCATGAAAATAAAGATTACTACAGACGAAAATGGAGTTCTCTCTCAGCTTACCCCTCTGAGCAAAGAGTGAGCTTCAGTGCTCAGGTATGATGGAAGTTTCACTTTCTCTTTGATTATTCTCTCTTGAAGCTTCTTTCTATTAGCGTGTGTGAATGGTGGCTGCATATAGTAAAAAACATAAGCAAACATCACCAGCCACAATCAAAACAAGCATTTGGATTGTGATAATGAATGGACTCCAATTCAGAGTTGCC